CATGAAAAATAATATTTATAAATGATGTAAAGTATACAGCACAGAAGGATGCCTGGTATAGCGCTGGATTACGAGTTGGGTTACTAACCACAGGTCAACAGTCGAATCTACTGACCTCTACTGAATCTACTGAATCACAGGTCGAATCTACCAACCTCTCCAAGGATGAAAAATGAGGTTTCTGTCCTGAAAAGATTTAGATTTACAGCCTCACAAACCCAGTACAGTATTTCTGTAAGTAAGAATCAACTCCATGGCATATAACCACCACCACCACCATACTTCACAGAGCTCAGGGAATTGCTGCTGTTTTTAAGTGCTGGTGAGCTGGTTCCAACTCACGTAGACATTGAATAGAGTTTCTGAGGAGTGGAAACTGTATATTACCTGCTAAATTTTAGAGAAGAAAGAGAAACATGGAAAAAGAAAAGTTCATTTTTTAAGAAAAAGAGAGAAAAGATGAAAGAAAAGTGGGGGAAATGAGCATTGACCCAAGCTTCCATGCATCCCTTCCTCTCTCCCAATGAAACTGGTCAGCACCCTAACCTTAGTAACCACATGACTTTTGCTTTTGTCTTATGATCAGTCAGGTTACTGTCCATAAGATAAACCAACAGTTTAGGATTAAGAGGTTAGGGTTTTCTCTTACTTTTGCAGGAGAACGTTGTTTTCTCTTCTTCTTTTTCTGTAAGTCTACTGGCTCTCTTATTTGTTTCTTGTCTCTCATCAGCTGCTCAGACACATCAGTAAAAGTGATTTCCTGTTTTACACTTATCTGTTCAGGGAAAAAAAGCCAATTTTAGAAATGAGTAATAAGAAGTCTATTGTGACCAGAAGCCATTGCATGTTCAATAATTTAAAAAAACCATCGTACAGGTGTACGTGACTCAACAATAATTATCTCTGTGTGTGCCAAATAGACTAGTGTTAAAGAACTCATTTACAGGCAAATGAGAAGTATGAATCAAGAGTACATAAATTGAAGAATACACTAAGATTTCTAAAAACTATCTGGAAAAAAGATTAAAAATGTCCTGGGTAGAGATGACCAAAATAAAAAAGAATCAGAATACAGTAATGCCAATTTCAGCCCCACATTTATAGGAAACTAACGCTAAAGCTAAAAGCAAACAACAATAAAAAAATCAAGTTCCTAAAAATCAATAAAATACTGGGTAATAAAAGAGCCATTTAGACATCTTGATGACCTCTTTCAGTTTATAAAATATCAAGAATACATTCTCAACAACAATGATAAAAAATAACAAAAAAGGTGGTGAAGAAACAATGCTAAATTCTAAAATATCATCACATCAAAAGAAAGGCAAGACAAGCTAAGTGAAAATTTGTGCATCTTTATGCTCAGCACTTTGGACAAGATCTTAGCCAATTATTTCCCTAGCTCTTTATGACAAACCTTCACCAAATATGTTACAATTCAGTGAATTATTTCATATGGTTCTTCTACTCATAGTCTTTGTACCTCACAGAAACTTTTTTCCCCCTGATGGGTCTGAGAAAGCAAAGATGAGAGAAGGTGCTGATAGGGTTATATGATTCAGTTGTGAGTGACTATAACAGGGTTAATTAACTGTGATGGTGAAAACCTGGAACACTTGAGTGGGTATAACACGAGTAGTCTTAAAAGCAGAAACAGTTCTCGCTATCAAAGACGAGCCAGGAGAGGAGCACATTCTTTGAACCTTGAGATCCCTGCATGTTGAAGCTCCTTGACCTAGGAGACAGAAAGCTGTGACACCAGAGGAGTAGCAGAGTAGTGGCAGTGGAGCAGGAGCAACAAAACTAAAAGCCAGAGCAAAAGAATGGTGAACTTCCCAGCCCAAAGAGCAGGTAAGGCAAAAGGTACACTTGTAGAGTGGTGTACCTGCAGGTACTTAACTGGGAAGCTGGTTTTGCTGACCCAGAGCTAAAGCAGAGTACCTTCCAGGTGAGGTTTACAGCACAGTAGAGTGTCCTTTGGGCATTTATCAGCAGTACTAAAAGAGAATTCTAACAATGTTTAAGAAGCCAGGCCAAAGGGTTGAGGGCCATAAAGACCTACTGAGGTAATAGCAGAGAAGCCAACCTGTATACTGAGCATTGCTAATCCTGCATTGTAACCTGTTAACTTCTCTAATAAACCCTGTAATTGTGAGCATGGTGTCTGAGAGTTCTGTGTGGCCACTGCAATGAATTAGTGAACCCAACTGCTCAGTTAAGTGCTATGGGAGGTATATTTGATGTCAGGTTTGCTAAAGAAAGTTTGGAAGGTGAAGCATGTCTGACCTCAGTACCATAGGAATTGGTCTGATGTTGAGTTTGATTCTTCCTCCCCTGGGTTAAGCAAGATGAGGTCAAACATTGTCTCCCAATCCCTTTTTATATACGTGTTTATAGAATTGCATTATAGATGGTTTTATGCTACTACTTTGTACAAGACATAATGCTAACAGCATAATTAAGAAATGCAACAAAAGAGTACAGTTTCATCAGTGTTATGTCATCTTTATGTCTTGTTTCTCACAGATAGGAGTTGGGTGTCCTAAAAAATTATTTACCAAGTTTCTAAGACCATTGTTGGTAATGTCAATGAACAGATTTGATGGTATTCTGTCATCCACTCTTCATTGCTACGTTTTCAATCTAGTCTTGAAATGAAAACACAAAGACCTTAAAACTGAAAAACTTAAAACTCAACAGGCTATGAAATGCACTAAAAACCCTTGTCAATAATCCTCCAAGTCCAATATGCTAATGGTCACATTTTTAAAAAACAACAAAACTTTAATAATACAGAAGATTATAAACATCTTACAGATTCTTTTGTAAAGTTGAGAGTGAGGTATGTACAAGGGCTTCACGGGGAAAATACAACATAACCCAGAAATGTCAGAATGACATAAGAAATCGTGAACTTGAGTTAATGAAATGTAGGTAGTATATATACTTCCCTATAATGCATTAGAGGAGCTCTGGTAGCAAAGTGGTTACAAATCGGGCTGCGAGCCGCAAGGTCAGCAGTTCGAAACTACCAGCTGTTCCGCGGGAGAAAGATGAGGCTTTCTGCTCCCATAAAGATTTACAGCCTCGGAAACCCTGTACAGAGTCCCTATGAGTCGGAACGGACTCCACGGCACATAACAACAACGACAACGCATTAAGAATCCTGACATGGTGCTGTGTAGGATAAGAACTGTACCAAAAGGTTGGTTTGAACTACAAGACAGGCAGTTCAAACTCAACAGATGTTACGAAGAAAACTTAAATAATGTCATTATGAGTCTGAAATAACTTGTCAGCCCTTAACAATTAATGTATTAGATGATTGTTATGTGCTGTTGAGTCAGTTCTGACTCATAATGACCCTGTACAGGGTTTCCGAGCCTATATATCTTTATGGGAGCAGAAAGCCTCATCTTTCTCCCGTGGAACAGCTGGTAGTTTTGAACTGCTGACCCTGACGATAGCAGCCCAATTCATAACCACTACAGTACTAGAGCATTAGATGATAGAGAATTATAAATCCAGAAGAATTTGGAATGAAAACATACTATAAATAAATATTTAGATAATAATTCTGTCAAGTTATAGAACAGTACCAAAAAGCCCCATCCTTATGATTTACTTTATTAAATATTTATATAGAACATAAAATAGAATGATGAATAAGAACCAGGCTTTGGAATACACAGCTTACTGCCTCTGAAGTGCTATTAACTGAAACACAATTACTTGGGCTGGGTATGAGATAGGATAGATAATAAAACAGTAAATAATTACATTTTATTTTGTAGGGCCACCAAAAAGTACTTTAAAGATTTCAATCAATTTATAAACTGGAAAGAAGGCATGAAAATGTAGCAAGCAAAAAATGTCAAGTAAGGTGTGAGCTAGATTTGCAAGTAAGCTCTACAATTAGCAACTATTCATTCACAAGTTCAAAGTCTTTTTCTATAGACATCAAAAAAGATTAATATATTAGTCTGAGTCCTGGTGCGGTACTGTGGGATAATCAATGGACTAACTGCAAGATCAGTGGTTCAAACCTACCAGCCACTCCTTGCAAACCCTATACAAGGTCACCGTGAGTCAGAACTGACTCAATGGCACTGAACAATAACATTAAGTCTGAACCTGTTAGTTATCTCCACATTTATGGAAAGGGATCATATCAGTCCTGTTATGTTAATTAATATTATGAAAGCATTTACCTAAATGAGAAGTGCAATGGATCAAAAGCACAGCGAATGTCAAGACACAGCAAACTACTATTCAGATGGCTCCAAATGGAGTCCTGGTGTGGTGCTATGGGTTAATGAGCTGGACTATAAGGTTGGTTTGAACTTCAAGGTCAGTGGTTCAAGCTTACCAGCTGCTATTCGGAAACCCTATCAGAACCATTATGAGTCAGAAAACTTACTGGCACTTACCAACAATAGGTTTGTCACACAAAAGAGGGATAAAGTTACCTCCTCTCTATTTAATTTATAGCCCACCAACTAAAGCATACAGTGCAGTCTGAGGTGCTTGGGAGCAATGCTGGTAACTTTAAAAGCGTAAAGAGATGTGTGTGATAATGATAAAATAGCTAAATAGAATGAGCTGCAAAAAGTCAGGGAAAAAACTTTTCTGTATTATAGTCTTCCTTTGGTTCAAGGAAGTCTATAAATATGTAAGTCTATAAAACAAAAACTTATGAGCCAAGATAAGAGATAATATAATTCATTCTCAAGTTGTCTACCCGTTCCTTGAGACCTGTCTTTCAAAGACAAACATTAATTTCATGTTCTCGATAGTATTCTTTACCTAAAATAAACCATAGTACAATTACTCAAAGCAGGCTCAGCAAAGCTGTAGCACTGGGGAAAAAACAATGTGCTAGATTTTTTAAACAAATTCATTAGCACATCTAGAAATGCAGCAGTCTAAGAAATATACCAGAGTTTTACCTTCACTTGAGCTACACCATTTTACTTAGTGCATCAGTAACCTTCTAGCTACATTTTCTTACTTAAAAACCTGGATGCTACTCTTGCTACCAGCACAGAAATACCACCATCATCACCATCACCAACAATGTACCCATTTTTATCAGATTTGACTAAACCCAGTTACTTCTCTTCCTAAGTTTTTCAAACTCCTGCACATCCAGCTATCCATTCTAACTCCAATTTTTCACGTTGATACTAGAAAAGCCATTTAGGCATGACTCTCATATTTCACATCTTCTCTAATCACATGTGTTGCTGTGGGTTACTGCGCCTGACTGCAAAGCCGTTTGAAAGCAGTTCAAACTCACCAGCTGCTCCTTGGAAACCCTATACAGGGTCGCTATGAGTCACAACTGACTTGATGGCACTTAACAACAACATAATCACATATAAAGTGGCTTCAAAAAGTTCGTGGGGGAAAAATGAAAAAACTACTGGAATTTTACCACAAACTGTTTTTATGTATAATGTGGATGTTTCTCCCCAACATCCTTATAAAGGTTGACTACTATAGTAACAGAAGAGGCCATGGAACAAGAGAGATCATTGCAGATGTCCGATGGAACTTGGCTGAAAGCAGAGAATATCAGAAGGATGTTTACCTATGCTTTATTGACTACGCGAAGGCTTTCGATTGTGTGGATCATGACAAGCTATAGAAAACATTGAGAAGTATGAGTATTCCAGAACACTTAATTGTACTTCTGAGAAATCTGTACCAGGACCAAGAGGCAGTTGTTCGAACAGAGCATGGGAACACTGAATGTTTTAAAATTGGGAAAGG